AATTTTTTAAAATTTTTTATTTTATTATTATTTTTTGTGCATGTACTGTCAAATTGGATCTGACTGGTACAGGAGGAGATTGCTCCTCCTTCTTGAGCAGAGCATTTGGTGGATTTGAACTGTGAGCCTCTTGCACTGCAGTGCACCTTCTTGCCACTAAAAAATTATTAATTTTAATGAACGTTTACAGAGACCTTCCCCCCAAGTTCACTCTTCACTTTGAAAAGTAAAAGAAAAATTCTTTCATTGTTATACAATCCCTCCCCCCAAGTCCACTCCACTATGCAGCCTGTGTTCTGGACTCCTGTCATGACAATAATACTAATCTTACATCCCCTTCAAACAGGTCTCTCCCTCTTGTTTCAATGCAGTATAATTTATCCCATCTTTCTCAATCTCCCCCCAACCCTGATGTCAGTCCTGTTTTACAACAGAGGCATTATGCAATATTTGTCCTTTTGTGACTGAGATATTTCACTCAGCATAATGTAATGGGCATCATTTTGCTGCTTCCCCAACAGACAGACTGGTTGGCTCCTCTCTTACCCATGGAAAGTCTTCAAAGAGATTGTCAAAGTCAGGATGTGGCCTTGGCAGAGGTAATAAAAGTTTTTAATTCCTTTTTGCAAGTGAGTAACAAGGCCCTAGTGAGGAAACAAAGTAAACTCTTAAGTCACTAGCCTCACAGTATCTGGACAAGTCAATTCAAATTCACTTCTGCCTGAAGTGTCACGAAAGACAAAACAGGTGAAGGTGGCCTGGGTGGCAGAGAGATCCTGACTCAATTCTTTAAGGTAAAGGACAAATGACAAACTGATAAAGCTCCACAAGCAATATATATGCCTCTTACTTCTGGGTGCTATAGGTAGCTTTGGTGGTCTAGTAGTTAAGGGGGATGTACTCCCAACTCAAAGGCAGGTGATTCAAATCCATCTGCTGCTCTGCAAGAGAAAAGATGAGTCTCTTCCTAGGTGTTTTACAGCCTCTATGAAAACCTCTGGAGGGTCTGCTCTGACTCCAACCTGATGGCAATGAGTTAGTTACGAAAATGCTGGTGGTTCAAACTTAAGCAGCAGCATGAACAAAAGGCATGGTGGTCTACCCTGTAAAGATTACAGCCAGGACACACTATGGAGCGGCTCTACTCTTACTTTACTATTACTACTAGAGTTAGATCAGCTCTATTCTAACTCCACGAATAAAAATAATAAAAATAAACTCGGTAGTAGTCTCTAGCCTACAAAGCCTTCTCTAGGAGTCAGCCTGAGGAGCAGCCCTTTCCCTTGGCTCTGGGGACCCTTTTCCCAGGCCAGTCCCTTCAGATGATTCTTCATTCAAGGGATGCAAAAGGAGACTGAATGCATATCCTTGCTTCCAAGTCTCCAAACTGTCTGATTCTAACCCACTTCAGAGGTGAGAAAAGGCACTAACACATCACGTCCCCAGTCAGGATTTTCCCTCATGCCATGATGAACATACCTGACTGCCCACTTGGCAATCTGTCATATTCCTACGGCAACACTCCCAAAAGCCCGACTGTTGACCCACTTCAGACCAAGCAGGTGGGCTCACCTCTCAGAAACCCACCAGCCTTCTGCATAGGCTCCAGAGGCAAGTGGGCTATGACCTGCTGTGTGAAGCTCATTACAGGAAAATGTTCTTAAAGGGCTGACAGCATTCCGTTTATAAGACCTGCCTGGCCCTTCATGGTGGTTGTTGAGACCTACCTTTAATCTAGCCCCTGACACACAGTGTCTCCACGGACAACATGAGTGGACACTTAATAGCCACAATGATTAATTTTTTTTGGAAGTAGATCTCCAGGATTTTCTCTCAATTCCATTTTTGTTTGGAAGCTCCAAAGAAACAAGTACAACAAAAAAACTTCACTGATAAGACAGGTCATAGCAGAACTTGAAGCATAATAGAGCCTATAACAGAACCTGAGTGGTTGAGCAAAATTGGTTTTATATTAACTTTTTTCCTAGTTTTGTGGCTAAATGTGCAGCCATTGTTCCAATTTACCGTGGATCACTAAGATACATAGTAATTTTTAAGCTCCAGATTATCAACCAACTTGCAGAGACATAACCTGAGTAACCACAACTATCATTTGGTTATTTAGTAAGCACTTTCTAAGTACTATTTCTTAAGACCTGGGGGCACTCAGACAGCCTGGTCTGTGGATTTGCACTGCTAGTTCAATGTCTGAAATTCTCTGGCTGCTCAAATCTACCCGTGGCTTCACAGAAGATACCTCTTTTCAGGCAATTTATAGTCTTAGAACTGACCAGAGGGTCTGATAGGAGTTGGTTCCAACTCAATGGCAGTGTGATAGACCACATGTCAAAGATGGTTTTGAACACTTTACAAGTAATAACTCATTTAATTCCGAGGGTGGGGGCTGGGGGAGTGGGCAGGGAGAAAAGTGCAACAATGAATGAATGGCAATCCAAAGTCTCTGTAAATGTTCATTAAAATTAATAATAATAAAAAAAGTTTTAACACATTTAATTCCAACAACTTTATGAGGTAGATGCTATTATTACCCAAATACATAAATGAGTAAACCAAGGCACAAAGACATAAATTAACCGATGAGTCAAAGAAGAGTGAAACCCTTTCTATAAGACCTGGGAAATGTGCAAATTTAACTTATTCTACATCCCCTCAACATAAATTCAAAGTTTGTGCCTGGATCAGTGGCAAACTAGCCATCTCATCATAAATGGTTCTTGTAGGAAAAACTTAAGAAAAATAGGTGACCAAGTAGCAAAAAGCTGCGCTGCAATCCTGAAGGCATGTGCTTCTAATCCACCAACTGCTCTGTACGAGAAAGATGGACACTCTCCCCTTGTGCGATTAATAACCTCTGAAAACCTGCTGAGGAGTCTGCTATGGGTCAGTTCCAACTCAGTGCCACACAACAACATACTGAGAGCAAGGAGCTCTGGTGGTGTAGGATGTGGGGCATTGTGCTACCCCAAAGGCCATGCCTCTCTAGCGACTGGAATCCACCAGCAGATCGAGAGAAAGGATGACACTCTCTTGTGGAATTTACAATCTTGGAAACCCAACAAATTAGCAATGATTAGTGCTGACTGATGACTATGAGTTAAGAGCTGATTAAAGTTATGCAGAGAAAAGGCCTAACTGAAGCTAACAAAATGAGAAAGAAATGGCAAACCAAACCACAATATTTAGTAGGCTCCATTTTTAATAGCACGTGTAGAAACATTACAGTTTCTAGTCTAAAGTTTCATCAAGTCAAGGTGTTTTCCACTTTGTGTAGTCTAAAGCCCCTTCTACAATCCTTTCAAGGACGTTACCTTCATGCTTACTTTGGTCACTTAATAACTTGGTAAGGGCAAAAGGTTCCTGGAAGGCTGTGTTGTTTAGTGGGGAACCCTTGTTCCCATGACACAAGCAGATTATTTGAATCTCTGTTCATAAGTCATGCTTCCAACCAAGTACTGCTTGAATTCCTTTATACAGCATTTTCTAACATCAACTGTTTTCTCTGCATGATAGTGGTTTATGGGAATCAGTTGCATTTTGGAGAAATTCTGCTCTTAACTCAAGTTTTGGTTG